CGGGGGCGGCACAAGCCGCCCGCGGAGGGCCCCGACAGCTCGCAGCCCCCGCTCCCGTGCGGCTCGGCCTACGAGCCCGAAAATCCCAGTAAGGACTTTCTGAGCAAGACCTTCGGCGACCCGCGTGCACGGAAGGCCGAGCAGGGCCCCGACTGCCAGCTCCGGGCCTTCCACCTGCAGCCTGCGGCAGAGCCCAGGCCAGAGCAGCCGGTCCCCGTGGGCGGCCCCGGCCGGGCCAGCTCCCAAAGCCCAGAGGACAGGAGTGAGCATCTGAAGAAGGTCAGGAGCGTCCTGAACATCGTTAAGGAGGGGCAGATATCGCTCCTGGTGAGTATGGCCCACCAGTAGTTTGGTGAGCACGTTAATACCGGTTACCATTGCTGTTGTTTAGAAAGCTAACTTGAGGGCCAGCAGGTGGCGTGGTAGTTAAGGTGCTGGACTACCACGTAGCTGACCACGGTTGGAGTCCTGGATCTGGCTGCTTGGAAATCACACGAGGCGTGTGTACACGTGTGCCCAAAATCCCAGGAGAAGAATGGAGGAGAAGGGATTATGGTACGGCCATACGCTCTGGGGGGTGTGATCTCTCACTTTCCCTCTCACCCTCTGGCTCTGTCTCTCTCTGGCGAGCACACATGCCTGAAGGCAAAAATTCTAACCCCCCTAAAAAAGCCAACTTGAAGCCTCCATAGCTCGGCAGCAACCCTAGTCCTGTCGCCATGTCTCCCATGACGATCTCTCTCCTAGCTCAAGCTCCAAAGCAGGTCGTGTAAAGAAGACTAACCAGTAACTGACTGGGCCCTGCGGCTGCCACCAGCACTCCTTGACCTCAGTTCTTCTCCCCAGCACCCAGAACAACACTCCCACTGCATCTTGGTCTGATGTATTGACCTGAATTTCCTGACCTTACTGTTTCACAGCCACACCTAGCTGCAGACAATCTAGACAAAATTCACGACGAAAATGGAAACAATCTGTTACACATCGCGGCATCCCAGGGCCACGCCGAGTGTCTGCAGCACCTCACCTCTCTGATGGGAGAAGATTGCCTTAATGAGCGGAACACCGAGAAGCTGACCCCGGCAGGCCTGGCCATCAAGGTGACGGCTGGGTGGGGGCTGGGCTCACTGCACTTAAAAGTTAGATTTCTATGTTCAACAATTCCTCTTAAGATCAAGTCTTTTTTTTTTTCTTTTTTTTCTTGCTATAGGGCACATGCGCTCGCCAGAAAGACAGAGAGAGACAGACAGAAAGCGAGAAATCACCTCCCGGGGGGATGGCCACACCATCATCCCTTCTCCTCCATTCTCCTCTCGGGATCTTGGGCACGCACACACATGCACCCGACATGAGTTTAAGCCACTGGGTCTGGGACTCGAACCACGATCAACTATAGGGGAGTTCGGCAACGTAGCCATTACGCTAACTGCTGGTCCCATAAGATCAAGTCTTGAAAGGAGGAAAGGAGAGAGTTATCAAGCAAACAGCAAATGAACATGTTACATGTCGGAGATGAATCATTCCAGTCACTAACCACTTGGCGATTTTGAGGCTTGTCCAATGAGAGCAAGCTTCAAGTCAGCTAATAAAGAGAAAGGGAAACGGCGTGGCATGGCTGTAAGAATTTTGTTATTCGTGATGACTGCAGTTTAGATTCTTAAGGACACCTGGGTCTATGGAAGACTGTTTCATTTTTTCCTAATGTGAGAATAATGAGCAAGACAAATGAAGAGAAGGTGTGTTTTAAGGGTTGATAGTCCTCGAGAGTATTCCAGATAATGAAGTGGCCCTTAATGGCTCACATGGGACATCGGAATGTCTTCATTATCAGGAGGTTAGAATATCAGGGCTGCGTTTGAGGTTAGCTTTGCAGAGCACAATATTCTGTTTGTGAAAAACCACACGAATTAATGACCACTGGGGTAGAGTTAAAACCTAGAAACTATAATAAAAGAAGACATGGACATTTACAGCACTATAGTGAATACCTTTGCAAAGTATGACACATCTCTAGAAGGTGAGCTATTAAACTAAAATTACTTTTAAGATCTTTGGCAAATAAATGCAGCATTCAGTCGTCTTTATTAAAAAGCACGGAGTGAAGTCTAGGGAACTATAATACATCTTGTACTTCTGCGTATGCACTTTGCTTTACATAGACTTGTGTCTTCTACACGCTGAACAGTCATAATTCTTACAAATGACATTATGGTGAAATTGACTAGGGGAGCTTAGTAATTAAATAAATGTACTAGTGAATTCACTAAGGAACAAGTTACATTTAAAAACAATGAAATGCTCCCCTGCCTCTAATGTAGCTTTTACTTGTATTTTTGTATCTTTAATTTGTTTACCACTCAGTAAAACTTTATATATTAAAAAATGTCTTCAATTTTAATTTTGCTCAGTTGTAAAGTAGGTCTCTAAAAATAGTGTAGAAAGGGAGACCAGTGAATGGCATACTGGTTACATTGCTGGACTCCCATATGGTCAACGACTGTTCAAGTCCCAGACCCGGCAACTTGAAACTCATACTGAGTGCATGTGCATGTGTGCCCAAAATCCCGAGAGGAGAGCAGAGGAGAAGGGATTGTGGTATGGCCATGTTCCCGGTGGGTGATTTCTCACTTTCTGTCTCTCTTTCTCTCCAAAAAGTGCACATTTCCTATAGCAAAAAATCTCTCTCCCTAAAAATAAATAAATAAATAAATAATAAAATAAAATAATAGAAAAAGAGAGAGGGAGAGAGAGGAATTTTTTATACAATAAGAAATCTGCAACCCTGGTGGATATCACTGTCTTTTGGTTATAAAGGATACTATGTAAAATTAGGAGCTAGACCTCAGGAAACCATCGTGAAGAGGACTCTAATGGGCAGTCAAGGCTCAGTGTGGTTGGGTTCCTCAGTGTGCACCAAGCCCCCCCAGGTACTGTTAGGAGCTGGCAGTACAAATTTGAATAACACAGAGTCTCTGTTCTTCCAGAGCTGATAGTCCGATGGATAAGTTTGGTAAGTTATCTATAAAAGAAGTGCAGGATGGTCCATTTGGGATCCGGTCTTAGGACAGGACACTCCGGGAAGAGAGAGATGGGTATGGTCATCAGTGTACACGTGTCAGTGACCAGTCAAGTGTTCTTGCCATGTTGACTCGTTCCTCGTTGTTTTAGTTTTCATTAGTATTCTTGACTAAAGATAGATTATTGAATATCTCCCAGTGCTGTAGTTGGAGGAAAACATTTTTTTCTTCATTTATATGCTGTAGTGCTTGTCTTAATGATTTATAAGTCTTTGAGTATGGGTCCAGCTGGTGGCATGGAGGTTAAGGAACTGGATCCCACATGGCGCACTCCATGGTTCAAGCTGCTGGACCTGACTGCTTGAAAAGCACACCTGAGGCCTTGTGCATGCATGCCCAAACTCCCGAGAGGAGAGTAGAAGAGATGGGATTGTAGCATGGCTGTTCCCCCACTCCACCTGCTGAGGGAGTGATTTCTCACTTTCCCTGTCTCTGTGTTTCTCTCTGTATCTCTCCTCGAAGCACACAAGCTCTATGGCAGAAATCTGGGGGGGACAAAAAGAAGAAAAAAAAAGAGAAAACTCTTGAGTATAAAGGTGCATAAGGAGCTTACCTGTCCTTAAGTCAGCCCTCAGTATCAACACCTTCTGCAGTGCCCACATATCAAGTGTTAATTCATTCCTAAACACCTCCATCAACAGAGCGTAGTGCTGTCAACACAAAATTGAAGTGCAAATTTAAACAGCAATTTGTTTGTTTTAATACAAACATGTATCAAACCCGTAAAACTCAAAAGCTCTTATAGGTTTGGGGTCTCAGGCTTTTCATACTTCTAGACAGTGATTTACTAAGTGGAAGTACTCTTCCGTTCTTTTAATCTAGAATTTACAAAAGCAGTAACCACAAATATTTTATGACAAGTGTCACCTCCTTTAGAACTCTGTCCTCATGCATGCCCTTCCTCAACGTGTTTGAATGGGTGTCAGAGGAGTTGAGAGAATTCCAAGAAGTCATCATTCTCCCGTTTTAAGACCCCATTTTGTTTTTTCTTCAGTCAGTGAAGTTCTGAGAGGCCCACGGCTATTAAAGTCACACAGACTTGCAACAAACGGGCAGAAGTTTCTCAGATGACACGACTTGGCTGACACGAAGCTGAGTCAGAGATAAGGTATCACATAAAAAGATTACCTGAGAAAGGGCTTTGAACTCATGCCAGGGCTTAAGAACCTCTCTCCCCCTCCCTTACACTCCTTAAATTCTACCAGTTGCATGTAGAATTTATTGAGTGCTTTCCAGGAGACCCAAGAGTAGATACTGTGGGAATTCAGGGCATTATTGGGTGACCTTTGGGAATGGTTAAGCAAAGTAGGATTTCTAAAAGGTAAGAGAAGTCTGTTTTCTAAAATGGGACCAGTAGAAGAAATTGTTTCAGGAACTAAACAGACAAAGTAAAATCACCTCACTTCCCTTTGTTTCTCATTTAGTCCTTCTGATTGAACCAAAGGCATAGTGTCAGTCTGATGGCAACAAGCCTTCAAACACACGACCTCGCTCGTTTTCCTTTTTAACTTACAGTGTCCCCAGGCCCAGGGTCTTTGGCAGGCAAAACTCTCCTGCCAGAATTTGGTAACAGGTTTTATTGTCTTGGTATTTACATTTATGGCAAATGACATTGGTTTCAAACTCATAGAAGCGATATAATAATTCCTTCTGCCTTCGACAGCATTTTGTTTATGTTAAATGTTGCTTCCTCGGACAACCCGAACTAACAGGCATCTAACAGAGCACTCGACAGCAGCAGAATGCAAATTCCTGTTAGAACACATGGATAGAATGTTCTCCAGCATATCCCTTAGGCTAGGCTAAAACAAATCTCAATTTTAAGTTTAAAAGGATTAAAATGGAAAGTTATAAGACTGGCCGTGTAGTGTGGTGGTTGGGTGCTCTGCATGGAGAGCCAGAACCCTCATGGCTGACCTCAAGTCTCAACTGGGTGGCTTGATGGAATGTTGGGGGTGTGTGTACATGTGCCCAAGGGCCTGCCAAGATGGAGGAATACAGGAAAGGGCATTGTGAGCGTGCCCCACTGGGAGGAGAGTGCAGTATCCTGGGGTTAGTGACAAGCAGGGCACAGGCACCAGTGGACGGGGCTGGCAAAGCTATGAGAACATGAGACTGAGCGAGCTGAGTGCAGAGGGCTGGCGGACGTTCGACCTCCAGTGGAAAGCACTAGCCGGCCAATGGCCAACTGGAGATGAGGAGCCGGGGGCAGAGGGGACTCATACTCACCTTTCCCAATCCCCTGCCGCTGCTCTCTAGAAGTCAGCAGGTCATACAGACTGGCAGCCGGCTGGGAGGGCGCTGAGGAGGACCATAAAGATGGATTTGAATGGGGCACCTGGAAGCTTCTTAGCAAAGGCCTCTGCTGAGAGAACAGAATCTACATGTGAATAGCTGGGAGTTGTGGATTTGAAATCCCATCATCCAAATAGAAGATAAACAATGAACAGATGAGCTCTTCTGTCCTGCTTGTAGAATAGACGTTTTTCCCTGCAGAGTTAAATGTTAGGATTCTAGAACAGAGGAAAGAATGTTATTGTGCTAGTACAGATGCTCCCCTCATCCGCCTTCCCTGGTTCCATGCCCGCAGTTGCCCTTTTCACCTGCACTACAATCCCCCACTGCAAAGACGAAGGTGATTGAACTCTCAGTTGTCTCTCACGGTTGTGAGAATCTACCGGGTCATTAGAATAGCAGAGGTAACAGGGATGGCAGGAGCTCACATGCGTTTTCTCATTTAATTTTCGTGTAACTTTGGAAGTAGTTACCGTGGGATTGTCAGAAGTCATGATGGATGTTCCCTGCTTTTCCATGCAAAGTGCATCATGACTTTCCCAGCCATCCAGTATTATCCCTACTGCGTCATGAGATGAGAAAGCCGAGTGTCACACTAGAGTAGTTTGCCCAAGGTCTTGGAACTGTTAGACTAAATTGGCCTAAAAAGGCCTCAGTACTTCTGCTTGAGTTCCTATAAGGAAACCACAATCTCGCTTGGACATCTGCTTCCTTAGTAAATTGCTAAGTTACGAGGTCAGCAGTTAGCATAATGGCTATGTCGCTGAACTCCTACATAGTCGACTGTGGTTCAAGTCCCAGACCTGGTGCCTTAAACTCATATCGGGCTCATGTGTGTGCGTGCCCAAGATCCTGAGAAGAGAATGGAGAAGGGATTGCAGCATGGCCATCCCCCCTAGGGGGTGATTTCTCACTTTCTGGCTCTCTGTCTCTGTGTTTCTGGAGAGCGCACATGCCCTATAGCAAAAACTTCTCAAAAAAAAAAAAGAAAAAAAAATTGCTATGTTACAGCCAGTCAGCGTAGCCACAATCCAGTCACTGACAGCCCACCCTTAAACCGTGTTAATGCAGACTGATACCAGGCTACAACCAGTACAAATATTTCTCTTCGCCACCCCCTCACTTCTGTTCTTTGTACTTCACTTTCCCTTTCTTATCCTAAATGTCACCCCGCACATAGCTATCTGGAGTTCCAGAGAAGCCGTTCTGGAAGCTGCCGGGTTCAGATTGTTTATGCTCAGTTAAACTCTGCTAAGTTAGATTGTCTGAAATTGTCCTTTTAACATGACTACGTGGCAGATTAAGGATAAAAATCCATTCCAGGGTCTGCATCTTAGTCTCTAGAGTATATACGCAACACTGCTCTCAAGTAGCAGGGAGCGCCCTCCGAGTATGGATGACTGTACTGCAATTGTTTACATGTCTTGATCACTTTTGAAACTGTCTTCGTGCCTGAGAGGAAAAACCAAATAAAGGTTGGGAGAGAAGTTTAAATTTTAAAAAGTTACGGAACTATCTGTTTTATTAAGCTCTCTCAAAAGACTGCATTCAGTCCCTCTCGTTTTCTGTTTTCTGCCTCCTTTTACTGTATTGTCCCTCTTGATCCTAGGTATCATGTTTGACTTTCTAAAAATTAGAAAAATATAAAAGTTGTCATCTTGTCTTCTGTATGAATAGGTTCATCACTTATAAATGAGATGTGTATAATCATAATTTTCCACTTTTAAAATTTTTAAGTATTTTACTGATTAGATATTCATCTGGTCCCTTAATGAAGTTTTTTTTTGAAATGTGTATTGTTAATTCCTTTTTTTTTTTTTTTTTGAGAGATTTTTGCTATAGGGCATGTGCGCTCCCCAGACAGACGGAGAGAGAGAGACATAGAGACAGAAAGCAAGAAATCACCCCCCAGGGGGGATGGTCACGCCACAATCCCTTCTCCTCCATTCTCCTCTTGGGATCTTGGGCACACACGCACACGCGCCCGGCGTGAGTTTTAAGTCACCAGGTCCGGGACACGAACTGTGGTCGACTACGTGGGAGTCCAGCGACATAGCCATTACACTAACTGCTGGTTCCCTTGTTAATTCTTCATTAACAATATAATACTATTTCGTTTAGGGATTGGAAAACAATTATTCTCTCTTACAAACTTTGTTGGAAGAATGGCTGACAGTTCCACATGTTGGCTTGGATATGGGATAATTAAAATGCTCATATGTTGCTAGTAGGAGTGTAAAGTGGTCAGCCACTTTGGAAACCAGTTTGATAGCTTGTTATAAAACTAAATATGTAGGGAGGGCCAGCAGATGGAGTAATGGTTACATTGCTGGAATCCCATGTAGTTGACTGCAGTTTGAGTCCCAGACTGGGTGGCGTAAAACTCACGCCAGGTCTGTGTGCATGTGTACCCAAAATCCCCAGAATAGAATGGAGGAGAAGGGATTGCAGTGTGGCCATCCTCCCCGGGAGTGATTTCTCGCTTTCTGTCTCTCTGTTTCCCTCTGTCTTTCCAGCAAGTGCACGTGCTGTATAGCAACAATCTCTCAAAGAAAAAAAATCAAATATACACCTGCCATATGACCAGAAATTCCAGTTCTAGATATTTACTCAGAAGAAATACAAGCATAAAAGTGTATGCAGGATAACTTTATTTATAATCTCCCTCAAACGGAACTCACCCAAATGTCTACCAATAGGTTATTGAATAAACCAAGTTGTAGTGTATTCATACAGTGGAATATTTCTCACCAATAAGAAAGGAATAAACCAGCAGATTTTGGATGAATTCCAAAGTCATCATATAGCAAAAGAATCCAGACACTAGAGAACATCAACGAATCTGTTATGACAGAAATCTTAGCAGCGGTTGCCTGGGCCACAGGTGAAGGGAGGTGATCCCTGGCCTTTTGGAGTGATGGCAAGTTTCCATACCTTGCTCGAAGTTCTAGTTTAAAAAGGGTAGTTATCAAAATCCATCAAAGTGTACACTTAAAAGGGCACGTCTTATCATAGGCACATTGTATCCCATGTACGTTCAAAGTATGAAAATGGATGTAAGGTAAAAGTCTGGGGTTGATTTAGAGCCCAAATCACAGATCTGATAATATAATACTTGATACTTTCATACTAAAAACAAATTAAGTCAGATAGAAAGGCCAAAATTCATCTGATTCCTTCTTTGGGTAAAAATGACCATCTGTGAGGGAGTTTTCAAATCTGAATCACCTTGTATTTCTTTTTTAAAATCTAGAATGGTCGGCTGGAATGCGTACGCTGGATGGTGAGCGAAACGGAAGCCATTGCGGAACTGAGCTGCTCTAAGGATTTTCCAAGTCTTATTCATTATGCAGGATGCTATGGTCAGGTATGAAGGAGTTTTCAATCTTCCCTTTGGATGCCATACCAGCTACATTGTTATTATGATTAATTACTGGTCCATCAAAACTCAGACAAGTCATCAAGAATATATCCAAAGATGTATAAGCGATAATATTTATTGTTGCATATTTTTTAATGAAGAAAAGTTTTAAATAGCCTAAATATCATAAAATGGAATATTGAATATTGAATGGATAATGAGGATGCTATCCATGGATGGCATTTTATGGAAAAACATTTATTATGTAATATTAAATTAAAATATATGATACAAAGCTGTTCCTGTAATGTGGTACCAACTTTGAATTTTGGAGAGAAAGAAAGAGAAATCGAAAACAAAACTAGGGGAACCAGCAGTTAACGTAATGCCTATGTCGCTGATCTCCCATGTAGTCGACTGCAGTTCGAGTCCCGGACCCCGTGTCTTAAACTCATACCGGGCGCGTGTGCATGCATGCCCAACATCCTGAGAGGAGAATGGAGGAGAAGGGATGGTGGCATGGCCATCCCCCCAGGGGGTGATTTCTCACTTTCTGTCTCTCTGTTTCTTTCTGTCTTTCTGGCAAGCACATGCACCCTATAGCAAAAACCTCTCCAAAAAAACAAATGAACAGAAAAAAAAAAAAAGAAAACAAGACTAGGAAACATTATCCCATGTTTATAGTAATTATCACTCAGGGTGGAATTACAAGTGGCTTTTGTTTTCTTTTTTTGTACTTTTCAATATTTCCCAAATGTTCGACAGTGAACATATTTAACGTTTTTCAAAAGGAATAATGATATACTTTCTTGAGCCCAAAGTTAAAAAGAAAATCTTTATAAAAGATTAATCAGCGCAGTCTAGCTTGATTGAAGATAAGCAGGTGCATTAAATAGGTGACTCTCCGTTCCAACCAGTTTCTGAATCAGGAAATCCCAACAGAAGTAAGTGATGTACACATATCACTACCCAGTGGATAGAGTAAAAAATCACTGTCTCCCTTTGAGGGGGAAAGTGTAAATTAGCTTAAAAAAATGGAACCACAAAATATAATCTGCCATACAGAGTAATAAAGGCAGTGCAGGATTAAAATAGATTTCATTGCATTCATTTATGGCAAGGAAAATTGCTTCTCATGCATAGAACCATATCACCTTTGGCTTCATAGACAGTGGCAGCACATGGTGCTGTTGTCAACAAGAGATTATGCTTTTTCAAGTGCAACGATCCCAATTTCATAAAGTAGGCTTAAGGGGCCAGCAGGTGGTGTGGTGGTTAAGGTACTGGACTCCCACATGGCCAGCTATGGTTCGAGAACCAGACCCAGAGGTTTGAAAATCACATCGGGCATGTCTCCAAGAGGAAAATGGAGGAGGAAGGGTTGTGGCATGACCATCTCCCCAGGGGGTGATTTCTCATTTCCTTCTCTCTGTCTCTCTCTGGCGAGAGCACAAGTCCTATGGATAACCCCCCCCCCCCGAAAAAAAAAATAATATAAGAGCATTATTAGACCTTTCCTGATTGGAGTCATGCCAGCTGATAGGTAATTTTATGCCATGGTAAGTTTAATTAATACATGTTTAAATACGTATTATATAGCAGTAAATAATGCATTTATATTATATTCATGTACATTTATATTTCACATATATATGTATACATAACATCTGTACACATATATGAGGGGACTCCCAAAAGTTTGTAGAAAAATGGAATTAGAGTACCAGTTCATTCTGTTGCAGAAATGTTTGAATTTCCTGCGTCAGTTTTTTCATAATAGGTCTTACCAAGAACTTTCCGGAGACCCCTCTCACCACACGTGTGTATGCAGAATGTCTTCTACGTGTGTTGTTAGATTTTCTTGTGCGTGATCTGATTTATTCTTCCAAACGACCCTAGGAGATTGAGTTTTTATCCTCATTCTATAGATGAGGAGGCAGAAGAAAGAATTCAGTAGCTCGCGTAGGGTCTGAAGGCTAAGAGCAAAGACCAGATCCCAGCTTCTGGGCCGGATCCCGTCTCCTCTCCATGTGTATAGGTAACGGTACAGGTGGCTTACAGCGGGCTGATACTGCTGGAGAACACGGTTTTCCCACCTTAATAAGACTCTGTGCTGTTTGGGATACCTCACTAGCTCGTTGAAAAAGCAAGTGACTGTCCCGACTTTAGGAAATGAAGGAAAGAGCAGGAACGTGTGAAAAAGAAAAAAAAAAAAAAAAAAAAAAAAAAAAAAAAAACACTGTATTTTAAATATTATCATTTTTTCATTTTCTCTGTGTATTTTACTTTACCAGTCCCCATCCCCAGTGCCCTAGAAACAACCAGTAATAGTTAAGGGCATTTGCTGAGGATGCTGTTTGGGGCTTATACTGGCAGAGAAGAGAACAGAATTTCAGATGACCTGAAGAATTTGATCATTGCTGATCTTCCTAAATCTTTTATTTTTGGAGAGGTTTTTGCTATAGGGCACGTGCGCTCGCCAGAAAGACAGAGAGAGACAGAGAGACAGAAAGCGAGAAATCACCCCCCAGGGGAGATGGCCACGCCGCAATCCCTTCTCCTCCATTCTCCTCTCGGGATCTTGGGCACGCACGCACACGCGCCCGGCGTGTGTTTAAGCCACCGGGTCCAAGACTCAAACTGCAGTCGACTACGTGGGAATCCAGTGACATAGCCATTACGCTAATTGCTGGTCCCCCTAAATCATTTTTCAGCACAAAACCGAATTTTATTAAACCGCGTGGATGACTGTTTCATGTCCCTGATTTCACTTGCACATGTGAAAGCCAAAGGGGGAGTGGGAGGTGTCTGTGGAAAAGCTGCCGGTGCTTTCGGTAGCGCTTGCCAAAGAAAAGGAGGAAAGGATCGCATGGCTGTTCGGAGACTCTAGGAAAATAACGGGGCCTGCGGCGGCCTTTGTCTTGGGAGATGGTGCTTATATATGCCGGTCTCTTTATTCAACGCGCTCAGCAGGTTTCTCATCATTTTGAAGCTATTGGGACAAAACAAAAGAAAGAGCCCTTCCTGGTACTGGCTGGGTGACAGAGCGGCTTCCTTGCCTGGGCTGGAGGAAAATCAGTCACTTGTCTGAAGAGCTATAGCAGACATTTACTTCCTTCCTTATCAACCCTTGGTTATTATTTCAAGCTGATAAGCGGTTTTTACGACCTTAAATAGGGCTTGGAGGGGTGCAGTCCTGCAGCACCCCTGGAGGGCCTTCCTCCCTAAGTGGAAAACGTAGCTGCCCAAGAGGACCGAGTTCTGCCGCCCCCTGCATCGCCCGGCCTCTTCTGTAACAGATAACCTGTGGAGAGGCCGAACTTGGCTGGAACCCTGACAAGCCCAATATTTTCTCTAGGAGGGCTGTTGCTGAGCACTTTCCTGATGGATTCAGCACATGCAGGCTTTTCCTCATCGCGCAGGCACTTGAGTGCGCTCTGGTTGTGTTTCCTCAGTAAATACTCCTGCAGAGGATAAGGCAGAGGAAAATTCCTCTCTAGGTTTATTTTCGTTGCCCTCTGCCCCTCCTATAGATCCTGAAAGAACAGGCTCCATTTGCCTCCCAATTTGTGTCCTCTTTCTTGTAAAAATCACCTTTAAAAAGCCCAGGACCGCAGGGTAGCCAGCAGTTTTTACTGGTCTCCTGGAGTGATAGATCTTTGGGTGATAGGAATTGATTTTGCTCATCCTGACACGTGAAGTCTCAGAGGGTGCAATTATTTCTTCGCCTGATTGTACCGAGCAGAAGTAGCCACAGGGAGTGTGAAGGCGAAAGCCTCGGGGAAAAGGCTGGAGGAACAAGCCGGGGATGTCCTTGCAAAGGCCTGGCCCGTGAGAGAGATGTCCCAGGTTAATCAGTGCAGACAGGAGTCTCAGTTCAGTCACCGCCTCCGCCAGCGGGTGCTTGACTCAAACGTGGCCATCCAGGCTGGCCTGCAGGGCTTCCCGGCTGCCGCGTGGGGCTGTGGCCTGAGCCGCTGTCTCTGGGCCTGTGGGTTCTTTGTCTTTGTCATCAAGCCTAAGGTCCCTTTTGTTTCTGAATCATTCCCGTGACTTTTGGTCAAGACGGTCTTTATTTACAAAGCCATCTGCATTGAGGCACTGTGGATCCACTGAGAACACCTCTGCCTAAACCCTGCGGTCTGTCCATTTTCATTGTTCGCCCTGATGCAGTTTTTATTTTTTATTTTTTAAGGGCACTTTTTGAAAAAAGAAAAGGCTGAGCAGCCCCCAGGAACAGCCAGAGCAGTGACAGGCAGGCTGGTGAGGGTGTTGTTGATGTTCTTGTTCCACAGTTTACTTTAGGAAGGAGAACTATTCCCTGGGCTTTACTGTCTCACTGTCGTAGGGCAGAAATAAGTAAACAGTGCTGAAAATGCTGTGCAGGCAGGTGAAAGTCAAATAGAGGAATCTTAGGTTAGCGTGAGCGCCATCTGCTCTCCGAGTGCCCGTCTGAGGGATGTGTACTGGACACAGAGCCCTGCAAACCCGCAGACTGACGGGCAGGGAGCTGTGGTGTCCTGGGCCCATGGGACACGAAGAGAGCATTCCTCACAGTCCAGGACATGGAGGACCGTGTTGTTGTGGACATCTGCACTCAAGACAGAAGAACAGTCAGGAAGAACGTGGGTTCCTAAGTCAAGCTGTTTGAGTTGTTTTTTTTGTTGTTTTTTGTTTTTGTTTTTGTTTTGCTCTAGGGTGTGTGCACTCACCAGAGAGAGACAGAAGCAGAGAGGAAGTGAGGAATCACCCCCTCGAGGGCCGGCCATGCCTTAATCCCGTCTCTCCCACTCTCCCGTTGGGATTTGGGGCATGGACACATTCATGCCTCACGTGGTTGTCACGCTGCCGGCGCCGGGACTCAGCACGCAGACTGGGCCGTGTGGGATCCAGCTGTCTTTCCCTCCGCATCACCTGCCAACCCAGGTGTTAGTCCTAGTCCCAGCACGTACGAGCTCAATGGCCTCGTGTACATTCACTAAAAGAGAGAGGGAGAGAAGAGAACA